TAAAACTATATTGTCTGCTTCGTGTCTCCAAACTTTTCATTATACATATTTTCAGAACATAGATTAGTTTCTTCCATTCTTGCCTAGAATACTCCAAGTGAGATATCTTGGAGTCACTGTGGATAGTCCCTGAAATGTGCAGTTGCAGTTGAAAAAGTACAATGTTGGAAATCAGTAAGAAAGGGATACAAAATAAGACAAAAATATCATATTGCCTCTATATAAATCTATGGTGTCCCCACATCTTGAATAGTGTATACAGATGTGGCCACCTCATCTTAAAAAATAAATACTGGAATTGGAAAAGGGTCAGAAAAAAGCAACAAAAGTGATCAGGAGTATGGAAAAGTTGCCATATGAGATGAATACTACTGGAACTTTTCAGCTTGGAAAAGTCATCACTGAGCAGGATATGATAGAGCTCTATAAATTCATGACTCGTGTGGAGAAATTAAATAAGGAAAAGTTATTTACTCCTTTCCATATAATGAGAACTAGAGATCATCAAATGAATTAAGCAGCATGTTTAAGACAAAAGGAAGTATTTCTTCACACAATGCACAGCAAGTCTGTGAAACTCCTTGCTAAAGAATGTTGTGAAGGACTATAACAGGTTTCAAAAAAGGGCCAGAAATTCATGAAGAATAGGTCCATCAATGGCTATGAGCCAGGATGGGCAGGAATGATGTCCCGAGCCCAGTGGTCTCCAACCTTTTAAAGTATGAGAGCACTTTTTGAAGTTAAGTGCAATCTAGGATCTACCTCAAACCCAAATACCTTTGTCTCACCTCCTTTGGGGCTCTTCTCCAAGGCCCAACTCCTGCTCACTCCATCCTTCCTCCCACCCCCATCCTTCTTCCCTTTCATCAGGCAGGGGCAGAGGGTTGGGATGCAGGCTTTGGTCTTGGACTAAGGAATCTAGAGTGTGAGAAGGGCTCTGAGCTGAGTCTGGGGCAGAGGTTGTGGGTACAGGAGGTGGTTCGGAGTAAGGCTCTGTAAGGGAGCTTGGGTGGGTGGGGGTGCCGCTCAGGGCTAGGGTAGGGTTTTGGGGTGCAGGAGGGGGTACATGACTGGGACAGGGATTCAGGATGCAGACTCCAGAGGGACATAGGGGGTACATGACTGGGACAGGGATTCAGGATGCAGGCTCCAGAGGGACACTGCTTACCATAGGTGGCTTCTATGTGGTGGTGCAGTGAAGCTAAGGCAGGCTCACCTCTGCCCTGGCCCTGCACCACTCACAAAAGCAGCCAGCAAACGCCCTCCATCCCAAGTCCTGTTGTCAAAAGCAGCTCCACACCCCCATTCTGCGGAGATAGGGGGAAAGCTCTACGGCAAAGGGCAGGAGTTGCACAGCAGTGGGGAGAGGGGCAGCTGAAGTGCCTGCACTTGACAGCCTCCTGGCCAAACCAGTCAAAATCACCTGTCAGAGGCTCCAAGATCTACTGGTAGATCACCACTGCCCTAGCCTCCATAAGTCAGAAGCTAGGAATTCCCTGTTCATTCCCTCTGTGATACCTGGCATTGGCCACTGTTGGAAGACAGGATGCTAAGCAGTGGGACCCTTGGTTTGACCATGCCTGTCTGGCAGGCACCCTGCCATGCACCCAAGAAAGCTCAATGATCAAGAGCTTTCTTTACCCACACAGTGGGGGGAGGGGTCTGACTGCAGTATTTGTGCAGCAGTTGCTGAGCCCATGCCCCGAGGGGCTCACAAGTGAGTTAGGGGTGCGCGGGTGCATGACCGAGAGGCCACACAACAGTAGCGGACAATGGGCCCCTCGCTGCCAAGGAAACGTCCCGCGGGCCAGAGAAGAGACGGAGCCCGGGCGGGGGAGGGGCCTCGGCGGCCTTTACCTGCTGCCTCTCGGCTTCTTTGCTTTTCTGGCCCTGCTTCCGCGCGTACCACAGCCCGATGTCGCGGCCCTTGAGGTGACCGGGATGCCGCCCCCGGCCCCCGCCGCCGCCGGCTCCCCGGCCT